ACAGGCGCAAGCTCCTTGAGTTCCGAGTGGGTAGCATTGGCGGCTACCAGCGGCAAATGTAGGCCCGAGACATGAAATCGCAGAAGGAGCCGACTCGCGTCGGCATAGAGCTGCGAGACATGCTGTTTGTCCGGCCGTGTCTACTTGACAGGTAACCCTGTATTCATCCAAGTAGCAACACCGTCAGCGCCATTCTCAGCGCACTTGGAATAGTACATAATGTAGTCCCCGACGCGTCTGGGAAGGCCCGCCTGGAGCCTGGCTTCAAGCACCCCAAATAAGTGGTACCGAGCGGCAGGAAATTGCTTGGCAAGAAGCGTGATGCGCCCCTGGAAGTTCAGGCCGATAACGTTCAGGAACCTGGCGGTCCCACGGGTCCAACGTGACGAGGAGAAGGAGGAGGAGGAGGACCCCCTCCCCCTCCTACTTATGGTGGTGGCGGTGGAAAACAAGCCCACCAGATGGTTGGGGGGGGGGTAGCGTTCGGATTCCCGCCGCCGAGAGATGCGGCATCCCCCCGGTGGGGCTGGCGACGGCCGCTATCCCGGAATGTAAAGCAAGCAGGCTCGAGCTGAGCCGGGTTTGGGAAGCGCCCCGAATGTTGCAGCGCAGTTTTCTAAATTCTTGACGCTTCGCGTATCCCCACCAGCTCACTCTGCGCGGTCTCGCGCCAATTATCTGTCGCTGTGCCCCAGCCTCGGTCATACCGCCCTCTGGACTTCTCCTTGCGGGCCGCGAATCAAAAAAAATATCCCCACCAGCTAATTTGCATGTGCTCGCCCCTGGACCAGATCCCTGGCAGCTGCAGCTTGCACCTCCTCCTCTCGCTGGCCCGCCCGCCGCGGCGCTGCTGAGGTCGCCGGCCCGTCGGCGTTAGGCAATTCGGCTCTTGCGCGGCCCACTCAGATCTGACTCGCCGCTGGCGCTCTCGCCTGCGGCTGCGACAAAAAGTACCCCCATCAGCCCATCCAGAAAAAATGCCCATGAGAGCTGACGGGGGGAGAGGAAGAGACACGCATGGTCAAACAGCGAGGGAGGCCGGCCTGGACGGCGTGTTGAGGCCATCTCTGGGCCCGCGTGGAGGGGGGGGTGCGAAGAGGAGGACGAGAAGGAGGAGGAGGAGGAGGAGGAGGAGGACGAGGAGGAAGGAGGCAAGAGGAGCGAGACGAGCAGAAGGAGGACGACAATGAGGAGGACGAGGACTAAAAGAGTGCGTTGGCGGAGGACGAAGTGGAGGGGGGAGGAGGAGAAGGAGGAGGAGGAGGAGGAGGAGGAGGAGGAGGAGGGGGGGGGAGGAGGGGGGAGGGGAGAGGAGGAGGAGGAGGAGGAGGAGGAGGAGGAGGAGGAGGAGGAGGAGGCGGAGGTGGAGGAGGAGGAGAGGAGGAGGAGGAGGAGGAGGAGGAGGAGGAGGAGAGGGGGAGGGAGGAGGAGGAGGAGGAGCAGGAGGAGGAGGAGGAGGAGGAGGAGGAGGAGGAGTTGGAAAATGACGAGGACAAGTAATTACGAAGGATATTGACGAGAACGAGATGACGAGGAGGAGGATGAGGAGGAGGAGGAGGAGAAGGAGGAGGATGAACAGGAGGAAGAGGAGGATGACGATGAGGACGAGGATGTCGACGGGGATGAGGACGAGGAGGGGCACGAGGACGAAGACGAGGAGGACGAGGAGCAGGACGAGGACGAGACGGCGTTTTGCGTGCCTCGGGTGAGCTTCTTTGGCCTCTTGGGGGGCCGCTCAGGGGGCCTCTTGGGTGCCTCTCGGGTGCATCTTGCAGGCCCCTTGGGGCCTCTTGGGGCGCTCCTGGGGCTCTCTTCGGGGCCTCTTGGGAGCACTGGAGGGCCTCTTGGTGCCATCTTGAAGGCGGTCGGTCAATAGGGGGGGGGGTCCTCGATGTCTGCCCCCCCCTCGGGGGGGCCTTGATGCTCGTGAAGGTTGTCAGACATTGGCCCTCCCACTGGCCGAGCACGGACCCTCTGACACGTTGGTCCCCCTCCCAACCAAACCCAGGGAGGGGATGGGGGAGGGTCCCCCTCCCCGGAGGGAGGAGGGGCCGTGCAGGGAAAAAGAGCGATCACCCCTAGACCACCTGTCGCCCAAAGGGCTGGTGGGATTATCTCAACTGGCTGAGCTGCGTTTGCGCTGAGCGGGTTCAGTCCACACCCAAGTTGTGAGCGGACCTGGCTAAGATGTAGCCATTTCCTGTGTGCGCGTAGGAACACAAGTGGGTCCAGGCCCGGCGGTGAAGGTCGAGGCGCTCGGCGCAGTCTGATTCGACCTTGAGTGGCGGAGGCGTCGAGTCTTTGAGGGGGAGTTGACGGTGTCCCCTTTGATGTCTCGCGCATGCGAGCTGTTGCAGCGCGTCGTATCCCCCCTCCAAGTTTTCCCATGGTTCGATTGTGCCCATCGCTTCGCTGTCGAGTGCTGAGATCTATTGCCTTTGGTTGCCCATTCCACCCGCCACTCCGTCGTCGCTCCCTTCGCCGTTTCTGCGTGCGTTCGGCGATCCTGATTGCACTGACGCTGCGTCCGAGCTCTGATCACTGCTCCGTCCGGAGCGTTCCCCTCGCAGGTCGGCGGCATCCAGCTCAGCACCAGACTGGGCGACTGCCGGTGCCTGCGCGGCCGTTGCCTGCGTGCTGGGCTTGGCGCTTGGTGGCGCGGTGCTGGGGATACGGCTCCGCAGGCCCCGTCCGACCGACGCATCTCGACACCCGCGACGCCGACCCCGCGACAAGATCGCCTCGAGGAGAGCTCGTGCATGACGCCAGAGAGGTCAACATTCTACTCGAGGCAATTCTGCTGAGGCTGTCAGCGCTGATGGGGGGCAAGGTGAGTCCGTCGACCCAGCACTTTCGTGCCATGGCCTCTTCGGATACGAGCCTTTTTGGGGGTCCGGCGGCGACGGCGGGGCCAGCCAGATTCAGAAGAGGGTTTTGGAGCACCGTGGCAGAATTCATTAGATAACCGAGACAGGGCACATGATGGTTCCTTCGTGCTCCCCCCGTGCAGGTTGGCTCCATGCACTTGGACATTGCATTTGCGAGCTACGCGTTTTTGCCCATACGGCCACCCTTCGCGAGATAAGTGGGATGTGCGTGTGAGGGGAACCAACTGATGACAACTGCGATGGGACACCACCATTTGGACACCCTGCGGACAAAGGCATCACACCATCGGGACACCATCGGGACGCAATAGGGACACCATCGGGACATCATCGGGTCACCATCGAGACACCATCGTGACACCATTGTGTTCCACCTGTCCACTATTGGTTTATCGATTTCACTATCAGCTTTACTATATGTCTCGCCATCGATCCCACTATCGATCTAACTATCGATCTCGCTATCTGATCATCGATCTCACTATCGCTCTCACGATCGATCTCACTATCTGTTTGTCGATCTCACTGTCGGTCTTACTTCCGATCTATCGGCCTCACGACCGGACTATCCCATTATCAGTCCCAATATCTGCTTGTCAATCTGACTGTTGATCTCACGATCGGTCACTCTATCAACCTATCAGTCTCCCTATCACTCGGTCTCACTATCCATCTCACAATCGGTCCTACTATCGAAGACGCCGACGGTGAGTCACCGCCGCCCCCTGCCCTCTCGGAAGCGCCTATGTGGCTGAACGTTGAGGCCAGAGCCTTGCCAAGCTATCGGACCATGTGTTCCCCGAATCGGTTTGGAAAGCCTTCGGGGAACACGTGGGGGAGGACGGGGAAGAGGAGGAGAGTGAGGAATGGGCGTGTTCGGGGCCCCTTGGGGGCTCTTTGAGCTTATGGAGGCGTCTTGGCCGCCTTGCAGGCATTTTGGAGGCCAGCCGTCTTGGAGGCCATCTTCGGCGTCTTCGTGGCTATCTTGGGCCGTCTTGGGCTCTCCTTGAGGCCCTCCTGGGGGCCTCTTGGGCTGTCATGGGGCCATCTTGGAGGCCTCTCTGGCGCTCTTGGGACGATGTTGGGGGCCTCTTTGGCCGTCTTGGTCCGTCGGAGCGCTGATAAGATGAAAACGCCAAAACCCTGCGAAAACCAAAGGAACATGAATGATTTGTGCCCTTTCGGGACTTCCTGGAGGACGTCTTGGAGGCCTCTTGGGGGCCTCTTGGCCAGTCTTAGGCCATCTTGGAGCCATCTTCGGCCGTCTTGGATGCTTCTTGGAGGAACTTGAAGGCATCTTGGATTCTCTCGGGCCGTCTTGGAAGCCATCTTGGACCATCTTTGGCGACTTGGAGGCCATCTTGGAGGCCATCTTGAGCCAACGTGACCATCTTAGAGGCCATTTTGAGCCGTCTTGGAGAATTTTTGCGGTTGTTAAGTTGGTTTCCGGGACACTGGCGGGATCGGCCGAAGCCCCAGGGGGAGTTCTTCTGGAAAAGTACCAAAACCAACATCGAACGAATCTAGCACGCTGGGCACCCCTGTAGCAAGCCAACGGGGGGCGGCGGATCCAAGACGCCTACGGGGAATCACCGCCGCCCCCTGCCTTTTTGGAAGCGCCTAGGTGGCCGAACGTTGAGGCCAGACCTGTCAAGCTATCGGACCATGTGTTCCCCGAATCGGTTTTGGGAGCCTTCGGGGAACACGTGGGCATCTTGAAAGTCATCTTGGCCGCCTGGAGGTCATTTTGACACTTTCGGGCCTTCTTGGAGGACGTCTTGGAGGGCTCTTGGGCCGTCTTGGAGGCCATCTTGAGCGTCTTGGTCTTGGGCCGTCTTGGGGGCCTCTTGGGGCCGTCGTGGGCCTCTTGGGCGATCTTTGGGTGCACTTGGGCCGTCTCGGGCCGTCGGAAGGCAGAAAAAAAGCAAATGCCACAATCTTCAAAGACTCATGGGAAATCAAAGACTTTGGAGGTTTTAGAACGGGTTGAGCAGAGGGGCCATACGTGTGATGTTGGGCAAAAGGGAATATTCTGCCCGTTGTCTGATGTGCACTCGCCAACACCCTGCTGCCCTTTTCCGCTCAAGTTGTTTCTGGTCTGTAGCAGGCCTGATGGGCCCCCCGCCGGCCCTCATCAGTCATTTCCAGACCGCGGGCGTGCGCGCTCTGGAGTTGCTGGCGCTGCGGCAGTCGATCATCTCGGGGGTGCCGCCGTGCCCCGCGGTGTCGCTGGCGTGCCCGCCGGCGAACCTGACCTGCCCGCCGCAGGTCTGCCCGGCGCTGACGTGCTCACCGCCGCCCTGCCCTCCTCCAGCGTGTCCGGCGCCGCTGGTCAACCTCTCCTGCCCGCCTGCAGGGGGGGTCGTGGGCGCCGGCGAGTTCGACCCATTCTCGGCGTACTGGGGAGGACTCGCAGGGATCGCGGCTGGGCTGGGGCTCGGCCGCGTCGCCCCGCGCCGCGGGCGCGCTGCTGCCGCCGAAGGAGATGATGATCGCGCACCGTCCCCTGCGCCCGCTCGCCGCGGAGGGGGAGTGGTGCGCTGACTTGGCGGTCGGCACCCTGGTCCGGGTCTCCTACACCGGGGAGACCATGGACCACACGAGGGTCGTGCTGTGGCCCAGCCGCCGCCTGGACCAGAGGCGGCGGGTCCGGGGGCGGCACGCCTATTGGGTGCTCTCCGCGGACGGCGACGTCTGGGAGGAGGACCTGAGCGGGAGGAATGCGGCGACCGGGCCGTCGGGCGGGTCGCTGCTGGACCAGGCGACTGGGGATCCGCCCGACGGCCGCCGCCTCTATCGGTTCCGGGCGCGGCCCAGCCTGGACGAGGTCGTGGAGCTGGCGGCGGAGTGCCGAGCCACGATGCTCAGGCGTGGGCAGGCCGAGTCGGAGGCGCCGACGAGCGTGGTGCTGGCCGACGGGGCGGTGCGCCCCGGCCGCGACCACTTCCCGTGGCTCGAGGCCCCGCGCCCTTGGGTGCTGACGGAACCGCTCCCTGGCATGCCAATCGGGACCGTGGTGGATCCGCTCCCGGTGGGGGCGCTGCGCGACGGGAGCCGGGCCCTCGGCTTGCTGCCGAGCTGCGGCCGCTGGGCGAGGCTCGAGCAGGTGGACGAGGGCAAGATCGTCGAGTGGGCCGCCAAGAGGACGAAGGAGCTGGTGCTCGACCTTGGCGCGGGGCCCGACGCCATGGGCGCCGCGGAGCCGGTTGGCGGGACTGAAACCCCGCCGCTGGGGCGTGAGGCTCGCTCGGCCGGAGGCGACCGCCTGGGCGAGAAGCTGGGGCTGGCCGCCGAGGAGCCCGCCGAGTCGGCCGCGGGGAAGGACGACGCCTACGGCGACGCGCGCACGCTGTGGGTCGACTGGGACGAGCAGGGCGAGCGCAGGAAGGAGTTCAAGCGAGCGGTGGCCGAGAGCTCGAATGTGAAGTGGGACCATCATCGGCTGCCCGCCGATCGCACTTGCCTTCACACGTGCAAGATGATGGTGAACTTGAGTGGGTCTCCACGCGTGTGGCTAGAGCGCTTTCTCAGGGAGAAGGGGATAGCTTCTACGGATCGAGTCGCGCACGAACTCCGAGTGTTGTGCGACATCTTGGAAGAAGCTGGCGAGTTTGACCAGATCAACCTCGGAGGACTGGCTTGCTTGGAAGTGGCCGCCCTCCGGCTGAACCTGCTGGTGGACGCGCACAAGACGAGCGGGTCGGCCTCGTACTCGAACGCGAAGTACCTCTCGCCGCTGACCGAGGTGGACCAGTTGATGGCTCCTGGCTTGCGGTCTCACGTGTCGAGGCGCGCCAAGGAGGAGTACGAGCTGATGCAGGGCGACAAGAAGGCCGAGGCGGTCGCTGCTGGTGCGGCTGGCGCGCGGGTTCCACCGCGCGAGGGGGCCGATGATGCGGCCAAAGGTGGCAAGGGCGGCGGCGGGGGCGGCCGGGGTAACAAGACCCGGGCGCGGGCCCTCGCGCCGCCCGTGCAGGCATGACGGACCAGTCTCAGCCGGCGGAGTGGGCCCCTGCCGGCTGGGCTAACACATCGGCCCGGCGAGCGCCGCTGGCCCTGGCGAGCGGGGATAGGGACCTCTTCCCCCTCCCTCGCCTGGCCAGGCCGCCCGCCAGCAGGGGCGGCAGCCGCGCCCGGATTGCTGGCGCTCGGCGGCGGCGCGAGCACGAATTGGCGAACGGCGCTATCGACTCTCTCAACTGGCTTGCTGGATGGGAGCCTGCCGACGTGGGCCCGCCGCGCTCCCTGGACGCCATGGGGGGCAAGCATGCTGGGATCGTACAGTGGGTGGCCAGCGAAGCTCATCGGCGCCAAGCCGCAGCTCCCAACCCCTGTCCGTCCCAAGAGGCATCGCTCAGTGCGTTGCTCAAGGGGTGCTCGATCTACGACACGTCGGGCTCCCCGAGGAACCTGGCCTCCTTCGTCCGCGAGCGCGTGTCCTTGCCCCCTTCGGTTGTCGCTGCCTCCAGGTGGACGACATCGTGGGCGAGGCCGGCCGCACCTACCTGAAGGAGAATCAAAAGCGTATGAGGCGGCCGATCGAGGAGATCGATTTTGACAACTTGCCGACTCCCTATTTTGACCCGCTGCTGAAGCGGAACAAGAAGATGTACCACAACTTTTTGAAGGATCTCTCGTCCCGCGGGCTCTTGCTTGCCACCTTGTCTCCCGCAGAGCAGGCTGGCCTGTTCTTCGTGAAGAAGGCCGACAGCGACAAGATGCGCATGATCGTGGACGCGCGTCGGGCGAACGCGTGGTTCGGCGTGCCCCCCAGCGTCCAGCTCCTGTCGTGCGAGGGGTTCGGCAGGGTGGAGGTGAAGCTCCCAGAGGGCGTCGCCTTCGGCTCGGCGCGGGGCGAGGAGCTGCTGAACGGCTTCAAGCTCTTCTTGGGCATGACGGACGTCAAGGACTGCTTCTACAGGATGCGCATCCCGGTGAGCCTGGCGAAGTTCTTCTCGCTGCCCGCCGCTCCAGCTCACGTCCTGGGCCTGGAGGGGCACGAGCTGGAGGGGACGAGGCTGGGCTGCGACACCCTCGTCTTCCCCTGCATCGGGGCTCTCCCCATGGGATTCTCTTGGTCCCTCTTCCTCGCCCAAGACGCGAACGAGGAGAGGGTCGTCCGGTCTGATCCGTGGCCAGGGGGAGACATGGCGGTCTCGGAGCGGGTCCTGATGAGCGATCGCGGACCTCCGCTCGTCGTGGAGGTTGAGCCCGGCCTGCACGGGGGAGCCTACGTGTACGTCGACAACATGGGGGTGCTCGCCCCCTCGGAGGGCCTCGCCAAGAGCGCCCTCGAGAGCTGGACTGGTCTCTTTGAGGGGGTCGGCCTGGACTTGCACAAGAGCTCGGTGGGCTCGGGCGCGTGCGAGGCGCTCGGGACCAAGCTTGACCTCGAGCTGATGAGGTCGGGCGTGAGCGACGGGCGGTTCTGGAAGGTGTACCTGGGGCTGGGGGGCCTGCTAGCCCGCGGCCGGGCGACAGGGCGCGCCTTGGAGGTGGTGCTGGGCCACTGCACCTTCTGCGGGCTGGCCCTCCGAGGGTCGCTGAGCTGCTGGCACGCCTCGTACCGCTTCATCCAGCGGCACTACCTGGAGCCTGCCCGCCTGTGGGCAGAAGTCGTGAAGGAGATCAAGATGTTCCGCGGGCTGCTCACCCTGATGGTTCAGGACTGGTGGCGGCCATGGAACTGCTGCGTGCTCCAGACCGACGCGAGCGAGAGCGGCTGGGGCATGGCGCAGTCGTTCTGGCCGCAGCACGTGGTGGAGCAGGTCGGCCGGCTGCCTGAGCGAGCCCGCTTCCGTTCGGCGCTGGGCAGGCCGGCGCGAGAGAGCGCGCTCGCTGCCGCCAACCTTGCTCGGGACAGCTCGGGCGCCTTGTGCAGTTTTGAGGATATGAAGAATCCTGACTCTCTCGCGTCTGACCTCCTGTCCTCGTGGGAGCTCGACCCCGGGTTCGCTGAAGTGCCCTGGCAGTGGCTCCGAAAGGGGGCCTGGGAGACCGTCCGGTCCGGGGTCTGGCGTTTTGCTGAGGACATCCTGATCCTTGAAGCCAGGGCCCTCGTAAAATCGATCCAGCGGCTGGCAAAGACCGCACACGGGGTCTGTGTGCGACAGCTCTTTCTGTCCGACAATATGTCTGTGGTGCTATCCTTTTCCAGGGCTCGTTCGTCCCGCTTCAGCTTGCTGGTTCAGATCCGTCGATTCTATGCCTATGCAATTGCGTTGGGGCTTACGCCCGCTATTCGATGGATCCCCTCGGAGTTTAATGAAAGCGATGAAGGCAGCAGGGTTTTTTCTGAGAGCGACAGTAATATTCTCACATCTCTCCTTGATGAGAAGTTCCAGGCCGGTTTGAATCTGCTCACCCGTCCTCCAAGAGCCGTCCCTGTGAAAGACAATACGCGGGATCCTCTCCGTAGCCGTTTTTGCTCAAACCATTCTCGCTTGGCTGGGGTTCCCGAGGCTCCCGACTCGCCAGAGCCGGCGGGCCATGGCCCCCGAGAGGGCTCGGGTGCTGGCCGGGCCGGCGCCGCGGGCGCGGACGCCCCCTCTGCGGGCGGGCGCTCGGCGGCCGGCCGCGCGGACTCGTGCGCTGGCGGCCGTGGCAGCGCCGGCGGGCTCGCGCTCGGACCCGAGCGGCGCGAGGGCGATCGCCAGCCCCGGGGCGCTGGGCCGGGCGCGGATACTGGCGCCGGCCCCCCTCTTGCCTTCAAAGAAGAGGGCCAGCCAGGCCGGGCGGCATCTCTCGGCCCTCGACGAGAGGGACGCGAACGGGCTGGACCTCGCTGGAGACGCCGGGGAGGACGCCGAGGGCGACAGCAGCTCCAGCGGCTCCGACTCGGTGGTGGAGCAGCTGGGGCGGACTCGGGCCCGAATGCGGCAGCTGCGCGCGCGGAGGGCGCACCGGCGGGCGAAGCTGTACGCCGATGCTATCCTGGCGGCGCAGGGCGAGGGCGTGAGCCTCCTGGAGACCCTGGCGGTGACCCAGGCGACGCAGGTGAGGTACCAGCGATATCTCGATCGTTTCTACTCGCGTGCCGGCCTGAGCCGGAGGCAGATCCTGGCGAAGCCGGACACGGAGATCGACGAGCTCATGTGCAACTACATGACCGAGAACTACTTGCAGGGCGAGCAGAGCAACTACGGAGACCAGACGGTCGCAGCCTGGGTCAGCGCGAACCCGGACTTCGGGCGCGTGGGAGGTCGCAAGCTGCCGCGGACGTGGCGGGCGCTGAAGGCCTGGCGCAGGCTGACCCCAGGCAGGCGGCGGAAGGCCCTTGCCCTTCCGGTCTGGTGCGGGCTGGCTTGGAGGCTGGCGCAGCGGGGACACCTACGCCTGGGCATCTTCTTGATGATAGGCGTATCGATCTATGGTCGGCCCTCGACCTTGCTGGCCGCCCGGCGGTGCGACCTTGTGCCACCGTCGCCTGGTGTCAGCAGGCACTGGGCCCTGTTGACCCACCCGCTGGAGCGGAAGAGGCCCAGCAAACGTGGGCACTTCGACGAGGGCTGCCCCCTGGACTCGCCGTACCTCCAGGGCTTGGACGAGGTGTTCGAGCGGCTGGCCTCGACGACGTCGAAGGAACCGCTGTGGAACTTCAGCTACCCCGAGGCAGCGACGTTGCTCAAGGAGGCGGCGGAGGACCTCGGGGTGGCCCCGGTGACATTGTACCAGATGAGACATTCGGGCGCCAGCATCGACTTGGCGAAAGGCTGGCGCAGTCTGACCTCGGCGCAGCGACGCGGGGAGTGGACGCAGGCGAAGTCAATGCACCGCTACGAGCACAGCAGCAGGCTCGGCAGCGACTATGCGAAGCTCGACCCCCGGCTGCGCGCGACGTGCGAGGAGGCGGAGAGGCAGCTGGCGCTCATCCTGACGGACCGGCCCCACAACGTGCAGATGTGGCGCATGTGAGCCAGCTGCACCTTGGATACCGTGGAGGCCGATCTCGTGGCCGCCTTCGCCGCTCGCGCCTCGGCAAGGGCCAGTACCTCGGCGATCTCTTCGCGGGCTGCCGGGCGGTGTCTCGGGCGGCCGAGGCCGAGGGCTTCCGGGCGAGAAGTTGGGACGTCATCTATGATGCAAAATGGCAAGACTTGTTGTCGCCTGCCGTGCTGCGGGCGATCAAAGCTGACGCTCGAGCTGGCCGACTGGTGGCCGCAACAATGGCCCCTCCGTGCCAGACTTTTTCCCTCGCGCACGACAGGTCGAGACCTGTGCGCAGCCGCGAGAAGCCATGGGGCTTCCCCGCCTCCGAGCTGACGCCTGCCGATGCCGAAGCAGTGGAATTAGGCAACCGCCTCGCTCGGGTTGCTCTTTCTCTCTTCAGATTCTTTTTGAAACTGGGGGTTCCCGTAATCCTCGAACATCCCTTGACGAGCCGGCTGTGGCATACTGCTGAGGTGTGCGACTTATCGCACCATAAACATGTCTCTCTTGTTGAACTGGACCAGTGTCAGTATGGAGCAAGATGGAAAAAGCCCACACGGCTCCTCTGTGCACACGTGAATCAGGAAGATATAATTAAGCTCACCCGTCGATGCCGACCAAAGGGCTGTATATGTTCTAGGACTGGGAAACCCCATTGGCAACTCAGCGGCGGGGGACCAGGTGGCCTCCGCCGCACCCGCATTGCTTCTGAATACCCTCCTGGTCTGGCACGGGCAATGGTCTCGACCCTCTTAGCTAGTACTGTTGAAAAGCGAGCTTGTCACTCCCACCCTTTCTCTCCCCACCCTAGCGAACATCCAACCTGGATAGCTTCGGGATGATTTGGGAGAAGGAGTTTTAAGGCATGCCTTTAAGCTCAAAGCCTCTGGCCATGACGAGTCCAGAGTTTCGCTAGATTCAGTCTCCGCAAGAAAAATGGGACCGTTGCTCTGGAGGTTTTAGAACGGGTTGAGCAGAGGGGCCATACGTGTGATGTTGGGCAAAAGGGAATATTCTGCCCGTTGTCTGATGTGCACTCGCCAACACCCTGCTGCCCTTTTCCGCTCAAGTTGTTTCTGGTCTCCCGCCCCCCCAACCCTCGGGGAGAAGGAGTTTTAAGGCATGCCTTTAAGCTCAAAGCCTCTGGCCATGACGAGTCCAGAGTTTCGCTAGATTCAGTCTCCGCAAGAAAAATGGGACCGTTGCTCTGACCTTTTCGGCCCTTCCTGGAGGCCCTCTTGGAAGCCTCTTGGGCCGTCTTGGGCCATCTTAGGGCCATCTTCGGTCGTTTTGGTGGGCTCCCGGCCCGTCCGACGCCGTCGGAAGCCGTTTGCGGGGCCCCTCTGGGCCGACTTGGGGTCCTCTGGGAATGCTCCAGGGCCGTCTTGGAGGCTATCGTTTGCGTCTTAAAGGCCTCCTGGGCCGTCTTGGGGGCGTCGGGCCGTTCTGGGGCCGTCTTGGAGGCCTCTTGGGCGATCTTTGGTCGAGCTGCGGGGGCTTTGGCATTCCTGGATGCCCTTTTGAAGGCCTCTTGGGCCGTCTTGGGCCAGCTTCGAGCCAACTTTGGCCATCTTGGTGGGCTCCTGGCCCGTCCGAAGCCGTCGGAGGCCGTTTTGGGGGCCTCTCTGGGTCGACTTGGGGCCCTCTTGGGGTGCTCCAGGGCCGTCTTAGAGGCCATCTTGGGCGTCTTGGAAGCCTCTTGGGTCGTCTTTGTGCCTTCTTGGGGCCGTCTTGCCTCTGGGGCAGTCCTGGGGCCATCTTGGAGGCCTCTTGGGCGCGGTGGGGGGGGGCCTCTTGGGCCGTCTTGGGTCGTCGGAAAGCCGAACAAGAGCAAATACGAACATCCTTCAAACACGTAAGGCAAATCAATGATTTTGGCCTCTTCGGGCCCACCTGGAGGACCTCTCGGAGGCCTCCAGGGCCGTCTTGGAGGCCTCTTGGGCACCTCTTGGGCACCTCTTGGGCCGTCTTGGAGGTTTCTGGGGCGGACTTGGAGCCATCTCCTCCTCTCTTGGGCGGACTTGGAGGCCATCTTGGACCATCTTGGAGGCCATCTTGGGCCATCTTGGCCGTCTTGGAGGCCATCTTGGCCGTCTTGGGGCCCTCTTGGGGCCGTCTTGGGGGCCTCTTGGGCCGTCTTGAGCCGTCGGAGTGCCCAGAAGAAGCAAATCCCCAAATCCTTCAAAAACCAAAGGGGCTCAATGATTTTGGCCTCTTCGGGCCTTCCTGGAGGACCTCTTGGAGGCCTTTTGGGCCGTATCGAAGGCCTCTTGGGCCGTCTTGGGCAATGTTGGGGCCATCCTGAGGCTATCTGAGGCCGTCTTGGGTATATGTTGGGCCGTCTTGGAGGCATCTTGGGGTCATCTTAGCCGTCTTGGAGGCCATCTTGGGCCGTCTTGGAGACGTCTTGGAGACCATCCCGGGCCATCTTGGCCGTCTTGGACGCCATCTTGGGCCAACTGAAGGAACCAGAGGCACGACGGACGTGTTTTGAGATCCTTTCCGGGTGGCCGGCGGGACGGGCCGAAGCCCCAGGGGGAGTTCTTTTGGAAAAAGAGCCAAAACCAAAAGCCATGTAATTCGGCACGCCAGGCACCCCTGTTGCAAGCAACAGGGGGCGGCGGATCGAATGGCTTGCGGCCCATCCCACCACCGTGCCTGGGTTGTGGGTACGAAACATACTGGATGTTCGTTTGGATCTCGTGGGAGCCCTCTCGGGGGCATCTTGGAGGCAGTTTGGGGGCCTCTTGAGGGCCGTTTTGGGGCCTCTTGGGGCCTCTTGGGGGCCTCTTAGGGGCCTCTTGGCCTCTTGGGAGCCTCTTGAGGTCTTTTTGGGGCGTCTTGAGAGAATTTTAGTGCCTCCTGGGCGCCTCTTGGGAATCCTGGGGGCCTCTTGAGGCGGAAGGCTTGAATTTTTGGTTCCCCTCTTTGGGGGCCCTTTTGGGGCCTCCTTGGGGCCCTCTTGGGCCGTCTCGAGATCCAACGCAGGATCCAAGCTGCGTGGGCACGCTTCACAGTCCACAGACGAGAACTGACGAGCAAGCACTACCCATTCAAACACAGGCTCAGGCTTTACAAAGGCACCGTCATTCCCACGATGACATACGGCGCGGAAGCGTGGACCTTGACAGAGCCACTCCGACAACAGCTACGCCGCACTCAACGACGGATGGTTCGGGCGATCATCGGAACTCCGGGAAGGCGCACAAACGTCACCTTACGAATGCACGCCGCACCAACAGCAGACAGCCACAGCAACCACGTCGCAGACAGCGTCCACCCTGACGACTCCAGCGACCACGACGCATCCAGCACCCCCCCCTTCCCATCAGAACAGACTAGCTCACAAGAAGACAACAGTGACGCACGCCAGACCCACGAGCAGACGACAGACGAAGACGAGCTGTGGTCGGACTTCCTCCGCCGGAGCACACGTAGGGCTGAGGAGCTCATGAGCAAGCACGACATCCCCGACGTAGTACAGATACATCGCGCAAAGTCTGGCGTTGGGCCGCACTCGTTTCAAGCGAACCGATGGACACACCGTGTGTTGAATTGGAACCCCAGCCTCGACGCAAGAGAGCAAGGCCACCGGCAGCACGGAGGCCAAAAGAAAAGATGGGACGACGACGCGAGGAAGTTTTTGGCAAGCCTGCACGCGAACACCAGGGACGAAGCCACGGACAGCGACACCAACGACGCCATCCATCCACGACGATATCTCCACTACGACAGTAACGACGTGAGATGGTTGACAGCCGCGACAGACACCACATGGTGGGACTCTCTTGAGAGCGCTTTCATTGCATACAACAGCTGAGGACGCAAACTCCCCGACGCCAGTTGCACCAATAACTTTTCCTGACCTCTAGCGCCGACGCCAAATTGACCACAACCACCAGCAGCACAGCAACACCGAAGTACCACCGATGATGGTGATATATGCAGTGGATGGGGCAATTCTGGTGCCAAAACGGTGATGGTAAAACGGTTATGGTGGTGGTAACCGCTCTGGACGACACAGACTCGGAACCATTGGAAGTCCTAAATGAGACTTCTACCCCTGACGATTCCAATCAACCGATTAACATCGACATTAACACAGCGACGCCGACAGCGACACCGACGGCAACGCCAACAGCAACGCAGCAGCGACACCGGCATGCAGCACCGACTACCGACGACCATCAGCAGGAGCAGCCACGACACCGACCACGCCGACTCGATCCTGATCAGGTTCAAGAGCGTCCTACATCCTCGGTCACGCCTTCTACGTCTCCCGGCTCTCACGCATATCGTTCCTTGCCGGGTTTGTGCACTGGTTCTCGGGAAACTTCGTCCACGACGTCTATTCGGACACGGCCTCTTGCGCCCTGCCCAAAAGGGCACGGGCACACCTGTGTGCCCGACTCTGGCGCCCTCACGCTTACACGGTCTGAAGCCACGGCCTCTTGCGCCCTGCCCAATAGGGCACGGGCACACCTGTGTGCCCGAGTCTGGCGCCCTCGCCTCGCCTCGCCTCGCCTCTTGGGCCGTCTCGGGTGCCTTTTGGGCCGTCTTGGGGCGCTCTCAGGCAGTCTTGGGGCCCTCTTGGAGGTCTCTGGGGCCGTTTTGGGGTGGCCTCGGGGGCCTCTTGGGCCGTCTTGGAGCGTCGGAAAGCCGAAAAGGCGAGAACGCCAACACCCTTCAAGATCCCAAGGGGGATCACTGATTGTTGCCTCTTGGGGCCCTCTTGGGAGGCCTCTTGGAGGCCTCTTGGGGCGTCTTGGGGGGCTCCTGGGCCGTCTTGGGCCCATCTTCGGCGTCTTGGCTGCCTTTTGGAGCCCTCTTGGCTCGTCTTGGGCCCCTTTTGCGCGGCCGTCTTGAGCCCCAACAAGTTGCGCGGGGAGGCGCGGGGGAACCCAGGGGAACCGCGCCAATCCCCAGGAGATTTGAAGCTTTGGGGCCCGGGACCCTTAACGACTCCTCAGGACTGGGGACTGAGGCTCCAGGGGTGAATTCGTCAAAGGGCCTGCGGGCATGCCCACTCTGTGCCCAGAGATCACGATCACTCATTCTCACTATCCAGATCACAATCGGCCCCAATATTTTCCGATCGATCTCATCACCGATCGGTGTCACGATCTTGTGGTATCGCTATCGATCGATCGATCTATGTATCGATCGATCGATAACACGGGGCAAACCATCGGGGCAACAATCGTGGCACATTCGGGACACCATCGGGACATCATCTGGACACCATCGTGGCACCCTCGGGGCACCATCGGTACACCATCGGGACACCAGCGGGACACCGTCAGGGCACCATCGGGACACCCCGGGCCAACGGAGGGGGCAGCTGCACTTGGCCCAGAGTCCCCCCCGGCAGCGGCGAGCTCATCCCGCGCGCCCGCCCACGCAGTTTCGCCTCGCCCGCCCGCGCGCGCGGCGGGAAACCGACACCGATCTCCCTGGCTCCGCGGTGTGCGTGGCATGCGATCGGGGGCACGCCTGGAACGAACCTGCTGGCGCAGCCACGCAGTGTGCGCTTCAGGGGAGCTGGCACGGCAAGAGTGAACTTCCTGGCGTGCGGCTCTTGGCACGGGTTGTGGGGGAGCGCTTCGCGGACAAGTACGATCCCCCCGCCATCCTTGCCAACGTTACCTGATCGCGGTGTGACGGCTTCTGGCACTGATTTTGCCACCACTTGCGCATTTGACTCTGGTGCAGCAAGACGTTGGTGTGTGTGTGTGTGCGCATGGTCCCTGTTTGGCGGCCAGTGGAGTGGGGGAAGGGTGTGTGTGTGTAAGCAAGGAGCAGTGATGGACCTAGTCCCGAATGGGAAAGGTGGGGTTGGAAGTGGTGGCCTGCAAAGCCGTCTGCGCCAAGAGGCCTGTTGGCATGTAGCAGTATCCTGGCAGCAACACGTGGTGCAACCAACGGGAGCAGCTCATGGTCACGCCGAGCTGGCAGAGGCACATCTGGCCGCAATTCGTGGCGCAACTCGTGGGCGCAGAGAATTGCGCTCAACGCCTGGCCGCAACCAATGGATGCAACTAGTGGCCACACCGAAAAATCTGCTGCACGTCGTACGCATCGCAGCTGAAGTAAAACCTTCATGTGCAAATATGGCACGGGACGCGGAGCAGAAATAAGCACGGGCGCGCCAGGCGCAGAGCCAGTATGGCGGAGCTCTGCATGCTGCCGATGACCGAGGACCCCCCGCACATATGACGCGCTAGCCGTTTCCTGTCAGAATCTTCACCCGCTTCCAGTAAACAGCATAGTTTCGCTCCTCATTTGAGTGGCATCCTTCACTTCCTGCTGTTTGAAGTCGTAATGCGTAGTTTGCCAGCCGCCTTGCAGCAGCATGAAGGAGCAGGCACCAGCGGTTTTTTGTGTTCGCGAATCTGTTATCATGGTCCAAGTGCCTGCGGTACACCCCGCTACCGCGCTGGTGCGATAGTGCAGCAGGAAGGAGGACGATTTTAGGAACAGCGCAATTCCGGCGAATAGTGTGCATTGGGGCGGGTCGTGATCGCGACCTCGTCTTCGTCCGAGCGGTCGGGGAGGAGGAGGAGGAGGAGGAGGAGGACGAGGAGGAGGAGGACGAGGAAGACGAGGAAGAGGAGGAAGAGGAGGAGGAGGAGGAGGAGGATGATGATGATGAGGAGGAGGAGGGAGAACATGAAAGTGAGCAGGCGAACGCTTCCTGTGGCCTTCTTGAGGTTTTCTGGGGGCCTCCTGAGGGCGTCCTGAAAGCTTATTGGGGGCATCTTGGGGGCTTCGTGGGGCATCTTGGGGGGCCCACGGGGCCCCTTGGGAGCCTCTTGGGGCCTCTCGGGCTGCCTAAAGGGGTCTCTTGGCCCGTCTGACGCCTACGCGGGGCCGCCTTTGGGGCCTCTCTAGGCCGCGTTGGCTCCCTTTTTGAAGCGGTTCCCCGCTTTCTTGGGGCCCTCTTGGGAACCCTTGGGCGATCTTTCGGTCCTTTTTCGCTGACTTGGGGCCATCTTGGGAGTCTCTTGAGTTGTCTTGGAACGAGGCCTCTTGGAGGCTTCTTGGGCCGATTGTGGCGGTTGGAGACCCGAACATGTTAGAACCTCAGCGTCTTTCATACACCCACGGAACATCAATGGTGTTTGGTTCCTCGGGCTCTCCAGGAGTTCCTCTTGGAGCTATTGGGGTTCGTCTTGGGGACTTCGTGATCTGTTTTGGGACTGTTTTGGGAGCCTCTTGAGCCGTCTCGGGCCATCTTGGGTCATCTCAGCGTCGGAAAGCCGTCCTGGAGGCAATGGGGCTCCCAAGGTCTCAACATTGATCAAGGGGCTCCAACGACGGCCCTCCTGGAGGCCAGGGGTCTTCAAGCGGCCCTCCAGGAGAGCCTGGGGAGGCCAGACCCACTGACTTTCTTCAGGTCTGTTTGACGGGTTCTGAGGTTCTGGCGTGTTTGGGTTCCCGACCGCCCAAGACAGCCTACGATGCCTCTTTGGGCCGTCTTGTTATTTTCTTCGGGCGCTTCAAGGCCGTCTTGGGCCCCCTCTTTGGGGGCCCTTTGGGCGATCTGCTGGCCTGGGGCCCCTCTTGGGGGGGCCTCTTGAGCTGCCTTAGGGCTGTCTTGGGGGCCCCCTGGGAGCCTCTTGGGCCGCCCTGGGTGGTCGGAAACCCGAACAGGCGAGAACCTCACAATTTTGCAACCATCTAAACTCAGGAGAGAAAAAAAACGCACAGACACAATTAATCGTCGATTTCCCAAAAAATCTGGGAAGATATGGGAAGTGGGGGGGAAGACAAAAACCAAGAAAATATAGGAAAATATAGGGAATCCTGTTATTTGTGTGTATTGGAGAGGCCTGACGGCCAGTGCCGCCGACCCTGATCGAAAGGGCTAGGAGTGGAGGGAGGAAGCGGAGGATGAGGAGGAGGAGGAGGAGGAGGAGGAGAAGGAGCAGGAGGAGGAGGAGGAGGAGGAGGAGAAGGAGGAGGAGGAGGAGGAGGAGGAGGACGAGGAGGAGGAGGAGGAGGAAGTGCATCCTTTGTGTGCCCGCTCGAAGAAAGTGCGCCCCGGGAGTGTGATATTCTGACTTGGGACATGCATCCGGAAGAGGAAGAAGTGCATCTCGGGCGTGCCCGCTCGAGGAAAATGCGCCCTGAGGGGGTGGTATTTTGACTCGGGGCCCGCTCCCGGGACGCCTCTGCGGGAGGAGGAGGAGGAGGAGGAGAAGGAGGAGGAGAGGAGCAGGAGGAGGAGGAGGAAAAGGAGGAGGAGGAGGAGGACCAGGAGGAGGAGGATGGGATATTTTACATCGTGAAGCATGTGTTGCAGCGCAGAAGGGCCGCACTTGTGTCGGCTCAAGCTCTCAATCACCAGATGCAACACATCTGGTGGGAAGGTCTGAAGGATTCCATTGTGGTAGGCATCCACTACTACACTGCCTCGCTGGCAGCGGTCTGCCCCGCCTGCCCCGAGGCCCACTGCCCCAGCCTCCCTGCCTGTCCGCCATTGAGCTGTGGGGACTGCCGTTGCCCCGAGGGATCGTCTATCCCTTACGTGGCCGCCACCGGGGCCCTCATCGCCGTAGGCTTCCTGACCTTCGGCTTGGCGGTGGGCAGTCGCATCAGGTTCCTCGCAGGCCGGCTTCTGCCAGCTCTGGTTTGCCCGCGGCGCTCTTCAGGCGCGGGCTCGCAGGGGCCGGCGCCACCGGCTCGCGAGCAGAAGGGCGTGGCGGCGGCACTGCCGGACGTGCCGCACCTGCCGACCTCCGTGGTGGGGGAGGACTTCGCTGCTGAGGCGCGGGCCCAGGCCGCCGCCGTGCGCGAGAGACGCGCGGCCGTGGCCTTTCGCGGCTACGCATGGCGGCGCCTGGCGCCGGCCCCCTCCTGGTCCCTCCTGGGGCGGCCGCCGCACCCCCTGGGCCTGGCGTGGCGGGGCCTGCTGCACAGCCGGAGCTGGCCCATGCGCTCACGGCGGCGGGCGTCTTCGAGGGCGACTTCATCGCGGTGAAGTGCAACGTCGCGGGTGCTGCTTTGTGGCACGAGAGGTGCGTCCTGCTGATCTCCAGCCAACCACCGCACTCGTTCACGGGGTTCACTCCCGACGGCGACTGCTACGAAGAGGACCTGATGCCCGGGGGGGACATCTCGGCCTGGACCCCGCTCGAAGGTCGTGCTGCGGGCGGCGGTCTGCCGGCTCATCTGGCGGGACAACGAATACACGGATTTCGTGCGCTGCCTCTCCTGCACACCTTCGTGGCTGCGCGGGCGGCGGCCGCTGCCCGTCTGAATGTTCTGCCTGCTGTCCACTTCGCTGTGAATGTCGGCCGTGCTGCGGCCGGAGGCCCGGCAGCGGCGCCCGCCGCGCTGGCCCCACCAGGTCCCGCGGCAGCAGGGCCACCTGGTGGCTTGGCGCTGGGCGCTGCCCCCGGAGTGCCTGGGGGGGCGTTGGTGCCTCCCGCCCCGGCCCCGGGTGGCGGCGGCCCGGCTCCAGGCGGCCTGGCGGGTCGTGCAGCCGTGTTGGCCCCGGCGGGGCCTGGCTTGGCGCCCCCCGGCGCGCTGGCACCCGGGGCCGTGGCTGCCCCGGGGGCTGGGGCCCCTGTGGGGCCCGCGGCCGGGGGTGGGGACCCTGGGGCCCCTGGCGCTCTAGCGGCGGGAGCTCCGCCGGTGTCCGGTGTCCCCACCGGCTGCGCCGCTTCTAGACGCCAGGGTCCTGCCGATCATTCGGGATCAGCTGGGGCAGCGGCATAGTGTTTTCAGAGAAGCGGTGCTTCAGATGCGAGAGGACCCAAGGCCCGACTGGCCTCTCTCGGGCCCTCGCACCGCTCTCTGGTGCTGCCGTTTTATTTCGGAGAACAGCATGACTCCCTTGGGACACCACGTCCGCTGGCGTCAGGAAGCTGGTCTCACCGACAGAGACCTCGGGGTTGAGGAGCATGAGAAATGTTGTAGGTCCCTGGAGCTCGCTGCTGTGTATGACCAAGTCAATGTGCCCAATCACGCGAACCTCGAGATAGTGTGCAGAGACCTCCAGATTCAGGAGGAACGGTATAGAGAGAAAGTCGCCAACCCCGATCAGGCCGGCATCGATCGCCACCTTTTCATGGGGACTGGAAAGGTTCGTGGGAACCTCTGCATTTGCCCTGACCTCCAGAGTTGGGTCACAGCCGAGCTGGCCCGCGAATGTGCCATTGCCAAGGAACGTCGCAAAGCCCGTGAAGAGAGGGCCCTGGCTTGCAAGACCTCCAGTGCTGAGGAGAGTGGCAAGCCGGGGCCCAAGAAGAAATGAGAGCTGCGGGGGAGGAGAGCTTCAGGCCCCTCTCCTCCCCCCGCGCGCAGGGCCCGTCTTCGCTTTCCCGCGGACCGTGTAGTCCCTCGTCCAGGCGGGTGCAGCGAGACCTTTTTCCTCTGCCTCTCCCCCAGACCCAGCAATGTGTCGTCGGTGTGGCCAGGCCTAGCCGGAGGGTGTGGAGGCGCCGTCGGTGTCTGGAGCGTGCTGATGCCTGGGCCGCGGATGGAGTCGCGGTTTTGAACGATCTCTATGGTGCTCGTGCCCAGCCCGCCTCCCCGAATGCGGGTCAGGAGCGGGTTCTGAGCCACATACAGGAGTCTCACTGGGGCCTTGATCGCCCCCCGGGGGACCCCGATTTTGCACGGGGAGCCCCCAGCGAGCTCCTGTCCGGGACCACGATTTATGCTTCTGATTCGGGCCCCGTGGTGCCTTATTCTTTCGAGCGCGTTTCCTGGCCCTCGCGGGACTGTAGACCGGTTCCTGTCCTGGATCTGTTGTCCTCGGCCGACGCGTCTGTGTTTAAGGAATGGCGAGGGAACCTGCTTAGGCCTCCGGCTGAGGCGGAGGCCCTGCGCCGCGAGGCATGCCCGCGCGGGGCTTACATCGATCCTCTCCTCTCTTCCAGCCCTCTCGAGTACGGAAAGTTTTTAGGGGGGGCCCACAATCGGGGCATGCTGCATTTTCAACGTGCCCTGGGCCGAAAAGGGGCCATGGGAGTGTTTTTCGTCCGCCAGAAGGGGGGCCAACAAAGATTGATCTTCGACACGCGGGTGGTCAATTGCTCCTTCAGGTCCCCTCCCAGCACCCGTCTGCCAACTCCCAGTGCCTTTGCAAGCTTAGAAGTGCCTGGAGGTAAGTGCCACATCGCTTCGGGAGACCTCGAGACCGCTTTCTATCACATGGAGGTCCCGGCCGATATGTCTGATCTGTTCTCGTTGCCCGTCGTCGACGCTGGGGTCCTCGAGTCGCTCGGAGTGCCGAACGTCCCGGGCGGCCCTGGGGATGCCATACTGCCGTGTCTGAGGGTCATGCCCATGGGGTTCAACTGGGCCATGCACGTCTGCCAGGCCTGTCTCCGCAATGTCGTGCGTGACGCGGGGTTCGTGGATTCCGATATGGTGGAGGACGGAAGACCTGGCCTGTGTCTCAGGTGCCCCTCGTCAATAGGTGCCGCCGCATATGTGGACAATTTCGTTACCCTCGGCAAGTCTGCGAGGTGCGTGAACGATCGCCTTCAGTATATCTCTCAGCGGCTGCAGTCCCTCGGCCTGGCTGTCCACGAGCTCCAGCCGGCCTCCGAGGACGCCGAGTTTCTGGGACTGACCCTTCGACGTGGGCGCGAGCTGTCGGTGCGCCACAAAAACATCTCGCGCCTGCGCTATGCTTTGGAGGAGATACTGAAGAGGGGCCGCTGCAGTGGGGCCCTCATGCGGGTTCTGGTAGGTCATATCACTTGGACTACCCTCATGCGCCGCGAGGGGCTCAGCATCCTGCAGTCCGTGTATGCCTTCGTTGAGTTCGCGGGATCTACTCCGTCCACCCTGTGGCAGTCTGTGCGTCGAGAGCTTTGGCAGGTTCGGAGCCTTCTCCCGCTGCTTCGTCTCGACGTGTCGGTGGAGTGGCATCGTCGAGTGTGCTGTAGTGACGCGAGTGATTTCGGTCTCGGGGTGGTTCCTCGACATCTGGGGCCAGATCGCGTCGCCGCTATCGGTCGTACCTGTGAGCGTTGGCGGTATCGCGTCGAGGGGGCTGAGCGAGCCCGGGAACGTGCCCTCCATCAGGATCACGAAGAGCATATCCCTTCGGGCAAGGTCACGGCGGTCTTCTCGGGTAACCTGGAGCCCAGCTACCTGGAGGTCTCGGAGGCCGAGTTCGACGAGGTCCCGGCGGGGCTTCTTCATCCTGGGAGCTGGGGGAACGTCGTGGCGGTCAAGGTGCCGCCAGGGTCCAACATTCTGGAGCTGGAGGGCGAGGCCCTGCTGCTGGCCCTGAGGCATCTGTTCAGGGACTCGTCGGCGGTCGGCACGCGTATCCTTGTGTTCGTCGACAACCTCCCCTTGGCCCTTGGGGCCACCAAGGGCAGGGCCCGCTCAGTCCATCTTCGGGGGCCTCTGCGGAAGCTGGCTGATTTGGGCCTCGCCACTGGGGGCCGCATCCACGTTCGCTGGATCCCGTCCGAGCTCAACCCCTCGGATCCCCTCTCTCGGGGCCGTCTGGGCTGGTTCTCAGGGGAGCGGGCTCCGCGCGCCCAGGGCCCCGCGGCAACGCCTCTGCCGCCGGCCGCGGATGGCGCCCAAGCGGCGGCCCGCTGCAGCCCCGCGGCGACCGAGGACCGCTGCCGGAGCCCTGGCCTAGCAGCGGGCGCCGCTGGTGGCCTCGCTGGTGGCGGACAGCCGCCGTGTCCTCGGCCTGTCCGCCCTGGAGCGCGTCACGGTCCTGCCAGTGACCGAGGCTCCGTTCCGCAGGCTGGCTCTCGGGTTCCGCTCGAACTGCACCGGCACGGAGAGGGACCTTGCCACCTGGACCCAGCTAGACAGCAACCTCGGCGACTTCAGGAACGCGCTGCTGGAGTCGGGCAAAGCGTCGGGCACCGGCCCCCAGCCCCTGGAGGCGAGGGCGTACTTCATCCCGGAGGTGCAGGGCGCCGCCAGGAGCTTGCCGCCTCGGAGCTGCCGCCTCGCCGTCGCGGGGAAGCGGCGGGTCCCTCCTCGGACCCGCTGTCTGCTACCCAAGGCGGCGGCCCTGGCGATCGCGGGCCACCCGGCTTGCGCCGTGCCTCCCCGCTCGGCGCTGGGGGTAGCCCCGGCGTGCAGTCGCCACCTCTGGCCGTGCGAGTGCTTCCGCCTGAAGAACCGCAACCTGGTCCGCCCCCCGCCAGCCACGGGCCCGCAGCACTCAAGGCCCGCGGAGACGCAGAGGCGGGGCTCGTGGCAGGCCCCCAGCTCCATGAAGTGGTTCGCGAAGGAGGCGAAGCTGCTGGCGAAGATGGGCCAGGTGCGCGTCGACGTTGTCAAGCTGGGGAGGCGGGTGGAGTCGCTCTTCGCGGGCACCCTGCTGGGCGGGCTGCTGACCCAGCCCCTGGCCGGCTCCGTGCCTGCCCGCCTCCAGGCGTGTCTGCGCGAGGCGCCGACCGAGCGGCAGGCGGCGCTGCGCGGACGCGTGGCCCGGCGTCGCTCGGCTCGCCCCGCGTCGTAGAGCAGCATCTTACCCAGAAGTTCGAGCGCGCTCTCAAAGGCGCTCGGCGACGCAGGCGCTGCCTGTTTTTAGATCTCTTCGCAGGGCGTGGCCGCATCGGCCAACAGATGCGCCGTGCTGGATTCGCCTGTCTTTCGCTTGATATTCTGAACGGGCCTGCAGAGAACCATCTGTCCCCCACCTTCCAGCGGAGAATCTTGGGCTGGGTGAAGTCCCGTGCTGTCATCGGGGCGTGGCTTGGCACCCCTTGCACGTCCTGGACCCGGGCCCTTCGCAAGCCTCTCAGGTCCTCCGAGCGTCCCATGGGTATAGATGGCCTCTCCTCGGCCGAGGCTTCCCGGCTGAAAGTCGGGAACGCTTCCTTCCATTTCACGTGCAGGGTGATTGGGCTGTGCGCATCTCTCGGGATCCCAGTCTTTTTGGAGAACCCTTTAACTCCTCTCATGTGGCAGGCTCCAAGGTTCGTTGCCCTTTCCCGCCTCCCCTCGTTCTCCTCCTCCATCTGTCATATGTGTCAATATGGCACTCCTTGGAAGAAGCCTACCCGTATTTGTGCGTGGCATGGTGGGTCAGGATATCACATCTGTCAAAAATGTCGCCCGTGCGGGCGGGTGTGCTCCAGGTCTCAGCGCCCCCACCTCGTGCTTAGCGGCAAAGCCCCCGGCGGTGTCCATTACACCGCTTTGGCCGCCTCCTATCCGCCCGCCTTTGCGCGGGCAGCGGCTGCACAGATGATAGAGAGCGCCCATGTCGTCCAATCCAGACGTCTGGCTCACCTGTGGGGTGTCTCAGGAGCTGCTCGCTTATAATGTGTTTTTGGGTTGGAGGTCGTGTGTCATTTCTAACTGCGGCCTTCGGCCATTTCCGCCTTTCGGGAGCGGGTGCTCAGTCGAAGCCTCGTGCAGCCGGCGTCCACGTGGAGCTGACACGTCTGCCTCATTCGGTCTTTTCAAAAATGCATCATCTGGCCCTGGGGAGCAGCCCAACATGCAGTGCATCCCGTGCGTGTCCGCTCGAGGAAAGTGCGCCCCGGCGGGCGTCGTATCTGCCCCGGGCCCCCCCCCCCTGCGGGGAAGGGGTCAAAGGGAAGGGGCTCCCCTTCGACTCCACTACGACGTCGTTTAATTTCGCTTTGGATAGCGCGCTTGAGCAGGAGAGCCCTGGGAGGGGGAGAACGGAGACGACGGAGACGACGAGTCGAACGGAAAAGCCCCTCACACACGCCGACAGGGTCGGCGGATTTATTTGTGTGCGTCCCAGGGCCCCTTTCATAAACGAAGACAATGATTTGAGGCCCCTCGGGCTCGCCATGACGGCCTCCTGGAGCGCTCTGTGGCCGTCTGGAGGGCCCCTTCTTGCGAGGCTCTCTTTCGAGAGGCTCTCGAGCTGTCTTTGGGCCATCTTGGGCAGTGTTGTTGTCGTCCTGGCTGTTTCGAAAGCCGTCTTGGAGGCCATCTGGGCCGTCTGGAGGCCGAAGAGACCGCCATAACACAATTTCGCAAAGGGCTGTTGTCGACGGGCGCGTGGGGGTATGGGGGAGTCCTTTACATTGTACAACACCTCCAGGCAACAGACGAGCATTTTACCACGTCCACACCGTGCAGGCACGGTAGAACGTATTATCCATTTGTCTTCTCGCAGTTGTCCGTTCAGCAGATGTCCTCTCCCTTATCGTTTCATCTTGTTTTGCGGTCTCGTTTTTGTCAGTTGTCTGTTATTTGTCTCTCTCTCTCTCTCTCTTTCTCCTTTTTTTCGTATTTGCACATGTCAATTCAATAGTCCATCCACCCTGCCTTGTTCCTCTCCATGTCCTCGCCAAAACGAGGAGGAAGAACCCACCAGGAGGAGGAGGAGGAGGAGGAGGTGCCACTGTAAGCTTGTTCTTGTTTTTTGATGTTTCTATCTCTCTCTCTCTCTGTCTCTTTCTCTGTCCCTCTCGCTTTATCATGCTTTGCTCATCCTGGGCGGCAGTGGCTAAATTGCTCCAACAGTATTTCGTGTTTTTAGGGGTGTTCGCAGGGGGACATGACGACGACGGCGACGACGAAACGACAAAACGACACGGGCGTACAACCCAGTGCAAACAACGCATCGCAGAGTTCGTCTTCTTCATCCTCCCCATCCTCCCCGCCTCCAGCGGGCGGACGCTCGCGGCTCGTTTTGATAACGGCATTGCATACCCCCCTCCTCGCCGCTTGCCGTCCAAGAGGAGGACGCCGGCGCGCAGCGTCCACGCGGACCCCGCCGCGAAACGGACCGATCCAGAGGCCCTGACCACCCCGCACGAGCGCGTACAGGTTCGGACCACGACTATGTCGTCGAGGGGGGCGAGGAGGGGGGGGGAGGAGGAGCAGTTGTTGGCGAGGCGAGTGACAGAGAGGGAATATGAGTGTATATATATATATATATGTACACATAGATGTATGTGTACTTATATTATCAGAGTGAGGGGACCGAGCGGTCATTCATTGTCCCTGGGTGCGTGGCTGAATGAGGAATGCGTGGTGAGAATTCTGATTGTTGCGTTGTTGTTGCTGTTGCTGCTGTTTCTTGTCGTCGCCCCACCCGCGACCCACCCGCGACCCACCCCGCGACCCACCCCGCGACCCACCCCGCGACCCACCCCGCGACCCATCCCGCGACACACCCGCGACCCACCCCGCGACCAACCTGCGACCCACCCCGCGACCCACCCCGCGACACACCCCGCGACCCACCCGTAACCCACCCCGCGATCCACCCGCGACCCACCCCGCGACCCACCCCGCGGCCCTTCCCGCAACCCATCCGCGACCCATCCGCGACCCACCCGCGACCCACCCCGCGACCCACCCCGCGACCCACCCCGGGACCCACCCTCAAGGGAGGAAAAACCACCCGGACCTGACAATTGACGTTTTTCTAAAAGGCCTTGGGCGTTGACTGACCAGCCCTGCCCTGTTCGATTCATTGCTTGTGTGCGTTTACTAAACGGCTTCGCTTGTCGGGGTGATTATTATGAGGTGGATTTGTTTGCCTTCTACACCCGTGACCCAACAGCGACCCACCCGCGACCTACCCACACTGGTTTAACGAAAAAATCGGTGCCTGCGGCGGGCTCGTTCTATAATTTGTGAGACTTTGGCGCCTGCGGCGGGCTTCTCCAGAGTCTCGCAAACTGCCCACGTCCCCACCGCCCCCTCACTCTTATCCGCATTTGCTGGGTGCTACGTACCTCTATGCATCTAGCACCCCGTAGTTGCGGATAGGAGTGAGGGGGTGAGCGCGGGTTGGGTTGCGGGTGGGTCGCGGGCGAGTCGTGGCCCGCAGGGTGGGTCGCGGGTGGGTCGCGGGTGGGTCGATAATGGCTCGCGGATGGGTCGCGGGCGGGTCGCGGGCGGGTCGCGGTGTGGATCGCGGGTGGTTCTCGGCTGGGTCGCAGGGTGGGGTGCGGGGTGGGTCGCTGGTGGGTCGCGGGTGGGTCGCGGGTGGTTCTCGGTCGGGTCGCGGGTGGGTCGTAGGCCTGGTCGCGGTCGGGACGACGACAAAAAACAACAACAACAACAACAACAACAACAACAACAACAACAACAACAACAACAACAACAACAACAACATCAACAACAACAATGATATGTTTAAGGTTGTTCGCCCTTATATGCTCGAGTGTCCAACAACACGTATTTCCCAAACCCTCGATACCCGCCCTCTTCGTCTTCGATCGAACCCCTTTTGGGGGGTATACCTTTCTTCCCTGCAGGCCGGGCCCCGGCAAGCGGCGGGGCGGCCGCGGACCGTCGGCCTGGCCAGCGGCAGCGCTGATCGGCGGGGCGGCCGCGGACCGTCGACCCGACCCCAAGAGGGACGGACAGGGGACCGACCACGACGACGACGACGACGACGACGACGACAACGACGACACGACGTTGAAGACGACGGCGACGACGACGACGGCGACGACGAGCGAAAACGAGAGCGAGAGAGAACGACAGCAGGGCCACGAAGGGCACGAAGTAGGCCACGAAGGGCGACAGCGGGGACACGAAGGGAATGCGTGTGGGGCCACGAAGAGCGCGAACGAGCGGGGGCCACGAAGTGCAGATAATGCGGGGCCACAGAAAGCAACTATGGGGCCACTGAGGGTAGCAACTGGGCCACGTAGGACAGTGAGGAGGACACAAATGGCGACAGCGGGGCCACGAAGGGCATGCACATGGGGCCACAACGGGCGCGACTCCTGGGTGCCTGGGTGTCGGGAGCGCGGCGCTTGGGCAAATTGCAGGAAATTCCAACGCAAGGCCATTCTTCAGTAAGTTGCAAGCAAGTCTCCAACAAGAGCGCGATTCCAGAGCGCCGGGAGAGCGAGAGCGCGACTCCTGAATAAAATGCGAGGAAGTCTCGGCCGGGAGCGGGGGTCCTGGCTAAATTGTAAGGACGTCTCATGCGGGAGCCGTTGTTGTTGTAACCCGGGGGCCAGGGGCCCAGTTTGAGCAGGAAGACTTTCTTGACGAAAAACCGAGTGCGAGCGTCGAGGGGTACACTTTGATTGAGAAGAACAGTATGCACCGGTGGGGGGGATCAACAACAATGATTTTTCAGAAATGAGAATTTCACAACAAGAACAGCAACAGCAACAGCAACACAAACAACAACACTCACAATCACAACAACAGGGACACCAGCAACGACAATAACACAACAATGCCAACACCAACAATAATGATAACAATGACAGCAATTAGCACAACAACAATCTGCACCGCGGAAGCCCACTCCAGCCACGCACAAGGGGGCAGTGACAGACCCTTCGCCCCCCACCCTGATGTATAGACATATTTGTTTTATTCCCCACATCCAAAGTGGGGTTCCTGTTTTCTGTGGACACCCCGCGCAGGAACAGGAACCCACCATCATCATCATCACTCATTCCTCACTCACTCACTCATCATCCCTCACACACTCACTCACTCACTCACTCACTCACTGACTCACCAGCACTCACATATGATGATGATGCTGATGATGATGATGATGATGATGGGTGTGCGCGTGAGAGAGTGTGATGATGATGATAATCATCATCACCAGTCAGTCAGTCAGTCAGTCAATCACTCACTCACTCACTCACTCACTCACTCATTCGCCTTGGGCCTTGTCTGTGAATGAATTCTGAGGAAGTCTCAGGCGGGAGCCCCCTTCCTATGGGGCCCGCGGATTATGTTACTGATTTGAACGGGTCATCCAATTCCTGTAACTGTCGCCACTTCTGGGCTATGAGCGCTGCCATAACGCCTCTCCCAGGCCACATTTGTGAGTGAATTGCGAGGAAGTCTTAAGCGGGACCCCCCTCGTTATGGGGCCCCCGGATCATGTTACTAATAAGAGCGGGTCGTCCAATTCTTGTAACCGTCGCCATTTTTGGGCTCTCGCGCTGCCGCAACGCCATTCCCAGGCCACATCTGTGAGTGAATTGCGAGGAAGTCTTAAGCGGGAGCCCCCTCCCTATTGGGCCCGCGGATCATGTTATTAATCCGAGCGGGTCATCCAATTCTTGTACTTGTCGCCACTTTTGGGGTCTCGCGCTGCCAGAACGCCACTCGCAGGCCACATTTTGAATGCCCGGAGCCAACTGTAGGCCACTTCGTGCTCTTCGTGCTCCCAGAACACGATTCCCGGGCCACACTTTGAATGCCCGGAGTTAACTGTAGGCCACTTCGTGTTCTTTCGTGTTCCAAAAACACAACTCCCGGGGCACTTTCTGAACAGGAGGGCGAGGTCGGGGGCAACGTAGGGAGCGGGGGGAGGGCCCGCGCCAGGGCGACAAGAAATATACGCAGAAGAGACAGCCAGGACACCTCACCAACCAAGAGGACGACGGTGAGGGTTTTTTCCAGACTCGCCCAGAGGATTCTCATGTGGGTTCCTTCCGTCGGAGTAATACATATTG